GGCTCTTTGCATTCGTTAGTCAATACACATTTTCGTCTTGCTCGGTCACCGTCGGTCGGTGTGGGAAGGGCCTTAGTGCAAAACACGCGCACACGCGCACACACGCACACACGCACGCATGAAACGCATGCCACGTACGCACGCACAGCACCACACAAAACACACACACACACACACACACACAACACAACACACGCACGCACCACGCACGCACCACGCACGCACGCCACGTACGCACGCACGCACGCACACACACACACACACACACACACACACACACACACACATAGGGAGACATAGAGAGAAGGGGAAAGGGAGGGAGAAAGATCGAGCTAGTTTGAAAGAGCGAGAGAGGGAGAACGAGAGCGTGTCAGCGAGCGAGCCATCGAACGAGCGAGCGAGCGAGCGAGCCTTAGGGCGTCGAGTCAGCAGCAGCCAGCAGCGAGCGACGAGCCAGCTGTTATACACATACATGCAGGAGCGTATAATGACAAATATATTTATATATATAAAATTAAATATATTTAAATATATATATTTATTATAAATTTGTCATTATACGCTCCTGATACATGTTACATTCTGGCGGAGGTATGCACTATTCCGTGAGTGCCCTCTGTCTAGTTTGTATGTGTTTTATAGCCCGCGTGACGTCGTTATCTGTTTAAAGCACATGTTTCCTAACCGTTTTCATATTATCTCGACCGTACCGATACTTACCTGTACTACTTGCGTAACAGCAGATACATATATATTAAGGGATGTCATAGAACACCCCCACATCATTATTTTCACGAATATGTGCGTCGATCTGCATTCCAGATAGATGCGTTTACGTAGTATGGCTACGTTATCACTAGCGCGTAATTCTCGCTCTCGCGAGATTCATCGATCGGTACCCTATACTCTACACTACGTTCACATACTACTCTACATATCGAGATAGATACTGGTCTATAAAAATTTATGTTACGTATACAAACACATACACTTGTTTTTTGATAACTTTTTTATATTTCATTTTCGCGAATCTCAAGAATGCAGGCGCAAGATTACTGCTCATTTAATGTTTGATAGCCTATAACAGCACAAAGTCGTGGTAATTTTAAATCTGAAGTAATCAGTAATACGTACGCTAACAGATGGGACCAAATTTGTCTACATGTGTTAATTTATCGATTTGTTTGAGAGGTGATCATTTAAAAACCTATGTAGAATACGTTTACGTAGACGACATTTACATTTTTGAAAACTACTGCGCTTGCTTGACTTTCGTTCCTTGAATGCACCTCCTTGTCGGTACCTCCTAGTGTGCGCTCTAAGCGTGGAATGGAATCCGATACAGATGTTAACGGCATTAACAATGCATTAGGAATATGTACGAGTGTGTGCGTGTTTGAATATGTGCGTACGTCGTTCCGTTGGTCAATAAGAGGGAGAGAGAGAGAAGCGGGCTGACAGAGGGAGTGAGAAGGGGTAGAGAGGGGGGAACGAGAGAAAGTAAGAGAGAAAGACGGAGAAGGTGTGGGTCAAGGCAAAATGCGCTCTTGCGCGCGCGAGAGAGAGAAAGAGTGAGAGAGAAAGAAAGAGAGAGAGAGAAAGAGAGAGAGGGGGGCGTAGGGACAGAACGGGAGCGTGTGTGTGTGAAAAAGAGAGACAAGAGCTGTGAAAGCTGGTCGATAAGCGTCGCTGCCTTCTCGCAGTGCTGCCGTTGTTTACCTTGAGACAGCAGCTGACGTTCATGGCTCCTCATCGGACGTTCTTATTTAAAATAGAAGCTAGGTAACACGATATGTGTCTTTAATTCCGCACCAGCTATCGGGAAAATTTGGATCTGCATCCAAAAAAAGGTACAGCCTTTAATAATTGGTCCTTGGGTCATTTCCTAACCAATGTTTTCCCTGCGGAAGAACGTAGATTTATTGTGTACTGATATTGCGAATCGGTTACCATGGCCACAATAACTATGGTAATGCCGCCAAACGATCGCTTCCAATATTCCCAAGACCGGTAATACAATCGTGCTAATTACCTAGATGAAAAACCGAATAACTTCTGAGATGCAAAACAAAATGGCTGAAGGTAGGACGGGAGTGGGTGGCGGCGTATGGAGCTCATCACTCACTCTCGCCCGCGGCGGGGGATGTAACACACAGCTAGGCGCGGGGCTTTTGCCAGATTTATCCCCATAATGGAGAGGACACTGCTGACCCACATATCTAGTGCAGTGCATGGACCAACGCTAGAAGCCACCAAGGTCAATATTGTCCCTCTAGTGGCCTAGGCGCGTAATTACATAACTGTATGTGGGCGTCGCGCTGTATCAGTATAGCGCCCAATAGAAAAGCAATTTGGTCCTGGCAATAGTGATATTAATTGTATCCCCCGCGACGAAGTCGGCGGGGATACTATGGTTTCATGTCTCCCCAGCCGCCGCCGCCGCCGCCGCCACCGCCGCAGACAATTTTCCTTCCGCTCTATAACTCGACCCCTAATTAACTTAGCGCTACCAAACTTGGTATACTTACACATCTTGGGGAGAAGGTGTGTCGCGTACCAAAACCAGGTCACTGCGACATTTATTCGACCTTTACCTTGACCTTGATCATATTTCCCTTCTTCTCTCTAACTCGGCCCCTAATTGACCTAGTGCTACCAAACTTGGTATACTTACACATCTTGGGGAGAAGGTGTGTCGCGTACCAAAACCAAGTCACTACGACCTTTATTTGACATTTACCTTGACCTTGATCATATTTCCTTTCCGCTCTATAACTCGGCCCCTAATTGACCTAGCGCGACCAAACTTCGTATACTTACACACCTTGGGGAGAACACGGGGGATACATGTAGTTGGCGACAACTGCCCTTTCTAGTTTTCACAGGGTAATCTTGCGTCAGACCGCGCTATTGCTAGGCCGAGGTGGCGATGCAAGCATAATTCTGGGGCAAGTCCCTGTACTGTCGATACCTCCGCATAAAGGACCCTGGGCTGAGTCGTTCTTCGCATTGTGTTTGATATCTAGATCGCGACTTGAAACGGAATAGTCTTGTATGAATTTTCCCCATTGTAGTTTAGCGCCGCCCATTTTGTGTTTTTCTGTAATTGCCACCATAGTAAAACGGAGATAATCGTGGCTTAGAGTTTGCGTCTGTGTCCGCGTTCATGCGTTCGTGTGTGCGTGCGTACGTGGATCTAATAAGTAGGAAAAATTTACAATGAACCTTTTTTAGTTTCGCGATCATATATTATTATCACATTACCACTGCTAAAGATTGTCTAAGTGATTAGAATATCTAATTTAATATTCATGAATAGATTAATCTAATAACTAATATAATTAATCTGAATAATTCTACGTGCCTATAATTTATTTATAAGTTTAAAAACAATTCTATTCATGCATTATGCACCTCGCACAAGTGCTTCAGTCCTGCCAAGTTCATCACAGCTAGATTACTTTGTCTGAAATACAATCTAATTAATTAGTTAAAAATGATTTAAATATTGTGAAAATAATAGTCATCCTTCCTGCAGTATCAGATAAAATAAAGTTTTATAACTAATCACGAGTTCTAATCAAATTGACATCTGATAAGATTTGATCAGATATCCGAGCACAACGCATAAATACACTGGCAGTTCCACCAAATCAGTAAAAATAAAAATAATGTATAATAAATCTTATTATGTATGGTGAGTACGCAGCTTAGTGCAGAGAGTCAGCATTCGCGCCGACGTTAGGCTTTACTTTTGCAGTGAGGAGTTGTTTACCGCAGAAAGGAGAGTTATTGGTAGTGCAATAAGATTTATTATACATTATTTTTGTGAAAATAATAGTCATCCTTCCTGCAGTATCGGATAAAATAAAGTTTTATAACTAATCACGAGTTCTAATCACATTGAAATCTGATAAGATTAAAAAAATGATTCAAATATTGTGAAAATAATAGTCATCCTTCCTGCAGTATCGGATAAAAAAAGTTATAGAACTAATCACACGTCCTAATCAAATTGACATTTGATAAGATTTGATCAGATATCCGAGCACAACGCATAAATACACTGGCAGTTCCAACAAATCAGTACAAATAAAAATAATGTATAATAAATCTTATTGTGTATGGTGAGTACCCGGCTTAGTGCAGAGAGTCAGCATTCGCGCCGACGTTACTTACTTACTTTGCTTACTTTTGCAGTGAGGAGTTGTTTACCGCAGATAGGAGAGTTATTAGTGTTGCAATTAAATTTATTATACATTATTTTTATTTTTACTGATTTGTTGGAACTGCCAGTGCATAAATATGCAATAACAGCTAGCGATACAGATATCCTATTGCTGTTACAGAAACCTAATAATTAACTGTCACATGAATATGTTCAAGAGTAGATAATAACAGTAGATAATAACAATGTAAAGCCTGCATGGCGCACACGTTATGGTTTTTATCGTACGACTTTTTCCGTTCCTTACCGGTGGGTGAATTCGGAGCGTGTACGGTCTCATTATCCTGCGATTTTTACCCTTCGATTTTTTCCCGCTACTGATCGGGGCATATCAAACTGGTTTGATATCTACCGATAAAACTCGCACAAAAATAAAAAGATAAAATCGGACCGTAGCGTCTGTGGTGTTCAACGGGAAACCCCCGGTTACACGGGCCAATCCGCATCGAGAAAAAATCACATCATCGACAAAATGGCAGCGCCGATGGAAGCCGCGCATTTTTTGGGACGACGAAAATGAAGCATTACTTGTTGATATGTGGTAACAAATCACAGCATAAATGTCTCTATGACACAACATCATCTGAATACAAAGACGGCACATCCTTGTGTGGGATACACGGATTATTTCCTGCGTTAAAATCCGGCGACTAAAACCATAGCATAGCTTGCGCCAGGCTCACTGTTGCTCGAAAGTGTGTTTGCAGTTTTTATGCAGTTTCGTGGCATGCCGAAATTTTATTGATGATAACTGATTATTCACTCGTTTCAGAATTATTCACGAATCCGGTTTCACGAACGAGGACTTCAAACAGTATAAGCCGGTGGTCTACAGTAATACCATCCAGTCTCTGGTAGCCATCCTGCGCGCCATGGGCATGCTCAACATACCGTTCACTGATAGCGCCAGAGAGGTGAGTACATATGAGAGGTGCCTGGCGATGGCTGCTAGCACAACTACAATTAAATAGCAAATCGAAGCCATTACGATTTATGTCCGTGGCAGACGTGTGGTAACAGCTCTGAAACGGTGTTACGGGTGTAAGAAATTAACAGGGTTTTACAGTGTTTTAATGGTAGTGTAGTAATGGTTTTCCAGTTACTTGTGTGTAGCCCCGATATTGGATATTAGAATGTTGTTGGAATGTCGAATGAATCGATTACATTCAATTTCGCTACTGTTGCCAGTCATGACCTATGCCGTTGGTGTCCGTAGCCTACTCCCTTTTGTCTTTGATGTCAGACCTACCTCGATCTCACCGTTGTTGTCTTTGCTACGTTTCATGGTTGTTTTCACTACCTCTCATCGCTGTTGCCCTACCTTTCATCGTTCATGTTTGTTTTACCATATTTCATTATAGTTGTTTTCACAATTTTTAGTCATATAGCGCCTTTACCGGTCTTTCATCATCGTGTTCTTTACTTCCGTTCGACATTGTTACCTTCACCACCTTCTGTCATTGTTACCTTTACCATCTTTTATTATTGTCGTCTGTAGTACTACCTTCCATAAGTGCGGTCTTCTGTATTACAAAACTGCCGAGAATATCTGCCTATATCCTTAGGAATCGTTAGCTGGCTGGTTTGTAGATTTCTCTAACTAACCTCGAGGTATAACTGCACGCGGCAGCGATGACGTACGTTTCTACGCTAGAGGAGCGTGCTCCTGTTTAATATTTCATCTGGCTACGATGTTATCCAAGAAAACTGGTGAGTAATCACCAGGTTGGAAGTACGCATGTCGAGAGATGCGAAATTGGGTTTTGCGTGTCATTCTGCTATTCCCATGCGCGTGCTGGTGACGTACGCGTGTCGTTTACGCGTAATATTTACTGGCCGTGACGTTAGAATATGATTAGCTGGTAGACCAAGACTAGACTTAGCGCACACTAGATGCTGACGCCTGCTAACGAGAGCATGATAGCCAGCCGTGCTTCCTTGTTCTAACCCTTTACTATGGCGAGAGTTGAAGGCAATTTGACTTTCACGTCTTTTGAGGACGTTATTGTCGGGGGAACATCATCAAGATCCCACTCGTTTCCTTAAGCAAGATTCCCCCGCTCTTGATATCATGTCTTGATATCTGTACCTTGTAGCATAACAGATTCGTATATATACGCATATATTCGTATAATATATTGTTCTGCAGTACAAACAGTCGCTCCGTCACATGCCACGGCGAAGCTAACTGCAGACGATATGTGATACTGATTACTACTACTATTTGATACTGACGTCCACAAAACCAGTGAATGGATCAATGACCAGAAAATGAGTACTTCCTTCCTCCTGGGACTAGTTCCGCTCCACCCACCCTCCTTCCCGCTCCTTTGCTCGGCGCTATTTCCGGCTTCTCTCCCTGCAACTCTCGCCTGCCTTCTCTCTCCCCGTCTCTCGCTTTCTCTCTCTCTCTCTCTCTCTCTCTCTCTCTCTCTCATCTGTCTCTATCTCTGTCGCTTGCTTTCGCCTGTTCTGTCCCCGGCAAATATTCCAGTATTTCGCACATCGCTGCAATTACCATGGATCAACAATGCTATAAAAACATTTGCAGTATCATATACGCCTGTAGGTCCGCGATCATATAAATATTTCACTCTGAATTTGAGTTCAGTCGTCATGGTAACCTCATTGATTATCACGTGTTTTGTAAGTGATATTGTAGTCGTGCTGAATAGGGTCGTCTTCTCAGACGATATAAAAGAGACAACAAGCTAATTTACTGCGTGCGCGACCCAACTGCGTTTGTAATTGGTTTGGCCTTTATAGAATAAAATATTAGATAGAACGTGAATTTCATTAATCGGCTCTGGATGTATGCATATATGCGTGTGAGCTCATGCAACTGCCATTGTGTCAGAATGCAGAGTTTGTAACATGCGGACTTTACTTTGTACTTACACGGTACGACATTACTTATGCTACTGATGTAATACAGTAAATATCTCTATAAGACATCGCGTTATTAAAAGAAATCGCTTGCTCGTGAATTCATCTGGCTCCATTTTCAGACAGCAGAAATATCAACCGAGTAGACAGTCAATAACGGGAAAGTGTAGCAGCGCGGACGGCTACTTCGAATGTTAATCGCTGTGCAGTAATTAATGAATTAATTTGCACAGGAGTTATTTGCCCACCATCGACCAGCGATTTATAATTACTGCGATACAGCCTCGCAAACGTAGAGCCCCGGGATCATTGGCTACGAACACACTCTCCTATATGATTTTCTGCGCAAATCTATTGGTGCTATTATGAGCCGACGACACATAGCTTTCTAGCGAATACTTCACCTTGTGCGGGGGGGGGGCACGTGGCAGATGTCGAAATTGCACTGAACGAGTTGCTTTGAAAGATTATTCCGTTATTACGCGAGCAGGAGCTATACTTGTCATAATTAAATAATGGCGCGATTGTCCACTAGTCGCTACGTCATCATACGATCGATTCGCCATACATATTCGTGCCTGCATAAAAAAAATCGCTCGCCCGATATCGAAAATCGATATCTGGGGTCGATGTCGAGCATAACGCGCCTACTCGTCAAGCTCGTGGGGAGGTGAGGGGGAGGGGGAGTGCTACAGGTATGACAACAAATGACAATTATTACGTGGCAGGCTTGCAGGTATTTAGGTGGGCGGCCGTGTACGTCTTCTGTGCGCGCATGCTCCGTGCAGTCCGCCGCGTCCACCCCTGTGTGGCCCGTGTTTACTGTGCATCTCCGGTGACCGCCTTCATTGCCTATAGTTACCGGCTCTCGCTAGTTAAGGCGCCGAAGCTTCCCACCGACATGGCGTATATCTGAGCACGATCTGCGCGAGTAGTAAGGAACTACTCAGTGAGACGCCTCGGACTGTATACATGAACGTGTGTGTGTATGTGTATGCGTGCGTGTGTGCGTGTGTGTGCGTGTGTGCGTGTGTGTGTGCGCGCGTGCGTGCGAGCGTGCATGTACAGTATCAGTATTGCGCGTGCGTATACGTATAAGCTTGAGTGCATATATAAGCACGAGATCGCACTAAATTCCAATACAATTTTCACTGATTTTTGCGTTATTTTAATCGACGGTGCTCCCCACTTGCCGTGGTCATACTTGTAGCTCATCCGAAAGTATTAAAACTACATTAGGCCCTGTTATCATATACGGGATGATATAGCTCAACGAATTCAGATAATACAGTGGCTGGAATTTTCACCCCCCCCCAAATACCACCCTGTTGCTATAACTATACCCAGATTCGGATCCGCAGCCACTCGGTTGCTTTCACTTCTCTCTGCCGAAATTGCTCTTCGGTTTATTTATGAGGCAATATCCACCAGAATCGTGCGTGCGAACCATGTGCGCCTAGGGAGGAAGCAGAGCGATCCTGTTTGTATGCGCGAGATTCCATCTGGACGCCTCTCGGCAGACGGTTCCATTTTATTCGACGTGCAAAACAGCTAAAAAGTTAATGCAGCTAATGGCGAGGCGAATTTAGCTGCAGTTTTACGTTCCATTAAACGTCGCGTATTTCGTTTTCGGTGATCTCGCCAAACGTCATTTCGTTATGGTGCTAAAAATGCGCGGAATTCTCGTTTTCTTGTGAAATTAAACGTTTTTTTTAAACAAATTCGTGATGATAGCCGATAGCGTACTTTCGTACTGGACAACAGAATTATATGAGACGTAGATAACTCTTGAATGATCATCAAGTAGTCCGTTTGCGCTCTGTACGAAGCGTACAGCGCCACAGTGCGGCCGAGCAAAGAAGTTCGTGTATATAATAATCGTGTATAACTTGATAAGCGCAGACGTTTCCGCTATAAAAAAACCGAGTCAGTCGTACATTTTCTCTGTGTTTGCTTTCTCCGAAAGTCAGGGAGAATGTGTCAAAGTTCTAAAGCATAGTAATTATTAGTTGTAATGGCAGCGAGATATATTTACGATAATTATATATA